CAAAGATATTAACTATTTAACATTTTACCTATTTTTTTTATTTAGGCTCATAATGCCCATCAAAATATATATGATTTTGAATTGGAATAGTAGAAACAAGGTAAAATGTTAAATAGTTAAAAAACAAAAATTTATTTTGATAAAGGAAAAGAAGAGTGAAGGGTGAAGACCTTAAAATTTCTCTTAACCTATCCCAAGCCCGGTTAAAGGAGGTGGGTTGTGTTACGTAAGCCGCAAACATAAAATTTTTTCAAAACTTTTTATAGATTTTCATGTTATCGTAAGGCTTTTTGGTATCAAAATTGCATTTTTCAATATAGTTTTGAGATGCTCCATAAACTTGATGCCTTATATAAACCTTTTGATAAATAAGTCTATGACTTGTGATAAATAAGGCTATGACTTACATATTAAGCATGTAAAGTTTTCTCATAAGTAAGAAACAAGAACCTTTTTATCTTTGTAGAGCTTTGGAATACTATCACACCAAAAAGAAGACTTCAAATGAACATCCTACAACAAAATGCAAATGTGGATATTGTCATAGAGGAAAAAAAGTTCAAGTTTATTCCTAAAAGCTAAGTTATCAATAATCATACGAAGTAGCCAACCTTTGATACTTACTAAGAAAAGATAAGTAATTTGGTCTCATCCATCTAAAACGTGTTAAATTAAAATTTGAGAGTAGTTCTTTGGGAAACCCTTGCTCTGCTGGTTATGTTGAACTCATTCGAGACCATATAGGCAGAATTATAATATCTTATTCTGGTCTTTGTGGTACAATTACAGTTAATAGGGGAAGACTAGGGGTCTGTTAGAAAGTTTGAAGTTGCTATCCAGGCTGAGTGGGCATAAGATCGTGGTGGGGGAATACATCAATATTATTGCACGAGCACAAAGGGAAGTGAAACCTCCTTAGAGACAACTTAATTTATTTGATGAAATCTTCTCTCTTTCGTCCAATTTCTCTTTGAGCTTTACTATTGTTTTAGAGGAAAACTCGGAAGCATATTCTCTTGCCGGGGGTGGTATACACCTATCATTGTTGGTTGTTATATTCTTCATTTAGATATGCTTTTTATTTTTTTCTCTGTTGTAATTCTTTTTAGTTAATGAAATTCACTGTTAATATTAACTAAAAAAGTGAAAAAAAAGAGAAAAAAAGGCAATTATGTATTAATACCATCTATCTTTAGTACAAAGAGCTTACAACTATTATTGGTTGATAGATATGAAATCAGGTGGCTGAGGATGTTTCATTGACTAGGCTCAATGTCTACAATAAAATTTCTCAAATATTGTGACAAACTTCAATCTTGTAATAATACATTCAATGGCTACGGATGATTATAAGCAAAGTTTGAAAAAACACAAATTCAAATTAGAATTATCCAATTCGGATCGAAAACTGCCCTGCCCGTTGTAATTCTCGTAATATATTGGGATCTGCCTGAGCCCTCCTTGTACCGGCTAGTTCGAGTTCATCTCGTCAAAGTGAGAGACCACTTTTAAATTTACGCAATGCATGCCTATTTTTTACTTTTTTGTTAGGAGTCACATTTACAATTGTTTTGCCTACCCCTAATTTATAAGCGTGTGCACCCACGTCCTCTTCTTCCTCTACAATGAGGGATAAAAGCTCCCATGCTTTCATTCCATCATGTTCACTTAATTAATATTGATTCAAGGAAAATAAAATTGAACTTAATAAGAAAATCAAGCAAGTCAAGGCATTGATTCAAATAATGAAATTGAGCCTAATAAGAAAATCGAGCGACCACATCCACTCAAACCATCCAAAACAAAATTGAGCCTAATATGAAGATTAGAGTAGTGATGGGAAATGAAAGCACATATTTAGAAAAAAGAAATAAAAATAAAATACGACAATAAATTATCAAGTTAAAATGAAATAAAGAAAATTTAGAAAAAATTAACAAAGCAATATGGCAAAAGAGGAAGTCCCACAAAAAAAAATGGAAAAATAAGAAAAATGTGCTTTGATCCTTAGATCTATATAACTTCATTGCAATAAAAAATACAAATGGAAATTAATAGGTAATCTAATAAATTAATTTCAGAAAAGAAAAAAATAAAAAGTGTGGAGGCAAGGTCCTCTATTTGTACAATCGCAATTGATAATAGAAATTACTACAAAAATAAAAAGTTTGAGTTAAAGAAATCCATTTTTATTGTAGTGAGTTGCATTTTAAACTACATTTTGACTATGAAATGAATTTAGTGGTCTACAATTACTCAGGCATGAAACAAGTTCTCAGTACTTATATATTTATACTACATTATTAAGCCAGCGTTAAGGGGTGGATACGTGTCAGAAGAACAATAAATAACCTTATATAAAGAAACAACTCAAATTCAAGAGAGAGAAAGATATGCATACATATCTAAGATTGCTTACATGAAGAGTATTTTTGAAAGAGAGAGAGAGTACATATTTTAGAAAGAACGAGAGAGATTGTTTTCCTATCTTAGTTTGAGAAATAGGAGATATCTTTTTACTATTTTTTGTTTCAAACATCTTAAAATGGGTATTTATCTCCAACTCAAATTCACGAGAGAGAAACACATGCATTAAGATTGTTTCCATATCCAACATGATGCCCTTCCAAGAGGATGATAATCTCTCTAAGTGCATGCATGTCCCTCTTTCTCTCTCTTCTCTCTTCTCTCTTCTCTCTCTCACATGAATTAAGGTTAAGATGTTATAGAAGTTAGAAAAGCCTAAAGGGGAACTCACTCAAGCCATTTGCTCATATAAACTATATTAGGTTCGACCTATCTTTTGTTATCTTTCTCTCTGTCTTTGCATACGTTTATAAAATTATAAAGATTTTAAATTTTTATATACATTATTCCTTAGTATTAGTATTAGTTAACGCTAATTTCTGATTTGTTTGAACTAAAATTTTTATTCTTTTAAGTTGTGGGATTTGCTATATTTTTTATTCTTTTAAGTTGTGGGATTTGCTATGGTTGGAGACTTAGATTGTTGACAAT